GCTGAGCTGCAGGATCTCCCAGAAGAGTTGCAGAGCTGCAGAAAGCCTACACCATGGACACTTGCCCTCGACAGCATTGCCCGGGTGGCCTTTCTGAAGGTACTGCTGGTTTAGAGGCATTATCAGTGCCTCAGTGACTCCAATTTCTCCCAGGAATGATGGTGCTGCATAGGAGCTTCCCCCTGGAATAGCCCACTTTTTTCAGGCATTGATCCTGCCCTGGGGTGTTTTCCAGAACTTGCACTGCTCCCTAATTACCTAGTAATGCTGAGGACTTATGAAAATGCTGTCATTTGTATGAGAAGGGGAGGGAAGAATGAAAAAAGGGGGAAAAAAATAGAAAACGCTGTTAAACCTGGCAAAACTCCAGGGTGGGTAATTACATTCTTTGGGGTGTGTTCTCACCACACGCAGTCTGTGGAGTATTTTGGGAGACTTCTGTATGAATAGTGCTGAAAAACATGAAAATATTATCGTTATTATTTTTTTTAAATATCTTTTAAAAAATGGGGACTTTATAAAGCCACAGAGGTAAGCTCTCTCTGATTGCATTTTCACCAGGTTGTTAGCTGTCAGCGATCTGTTCTCAGATCATAAATTTGATGGTGTTTTCCCCCCTTGAATTGTTTCAGACTGGAAGTTTAAAATGTTCAAGCCAGAAGAAACCTTGGCACAACCCCCACATTGTAAGGACAGAGACACAAGTCAAAAGAGGGAAGAATCCCACCAATCCCACTGCTATAGTTAATAGGAGGTGGGAGAGACCAGGTCTCTCCAAACACCCAAACATAATCCCCGCTCTTTTTCTTTCTCCTCTCAGTCTCTGCTGTCTAATGGAGTCACAGTATGTCAGAACTATAAGCGTCAAGAGCAATTGCTTCAGAAATTTCATCAGTTATAGCTGAGGAAACAGAGGCACAGAAAGAAAATGGACGTAGCCCCAGATTGAAATTGCACAGATGGCTGGACTCATGTCTCCTGGCTTCCACAGGTACTCTATGACCTGGGAACCCGGTCGAGTTCAGAGACACAACCCTTACCCATTTCCTTTCCAGCCCGTACAATGAATGTGTACTTAATATGCACACACAATCCATATTTCTACTTTTGCTTGGAAAAAGAAATGAAGATCTCACCTCCCTGAACCTATATTTGCTTATGGTCACAATCAGCCACGACTGAGTATCTGCAGCCATCTTTGATAGGGCATATACCTTCTCGTTCTCCTTACCCTCACTGTGCTCTCGCCAATTCAGTTCACTTCATTGATTTCCTTTCTTGGCTCAAGGAGGGCATTTCAATTTGAAATCCCTGCCCAACCCCATCCTTCTTGATTTGCAGTGTAAACTCAAAGCCAAATAAGCAAATCTTAGGCTATTTTGGTTACAAGGTAATAGAACTTAAAGTATGCCAAAGTTATGAACTGGGAGCATTGATCTGAGAGTTGGTGCCATGCCATCTCTGGGACACAATTTGAATAGCATTCAGAGGACTTTTCCACTGGCCTGTCAACTCCCTGGAGTCCCTCCACTAGATACTCAATCTTGAATTTAAGGGGAACCTATCTTCAGGTATCCCCTTTTAAAATGGAAGGTCTTTTTAAAAAATGTACATCTAATCTTTCTTCGATGTCATATCATGGGGAGGGAGGCTGGAACAGGGCCCTGGTTGTCTAGCCCCGGTATCCTTGCTGCTAAGTCCCCATAAGGAAGCGTTTTCAGTCTCAGTGCAATTTAAATTTTGTATCCAATAGGTCTTTGTTGTAGGTTGGCCATCCTGTGTATTGTAGGATGTTTCGTATTATCCCTGATCTCCTCCCATGAGATACCAGTAACACTTCCCCAGTTGTGAGAAACAAAAAATGTCTCCAGACATTGCCAAGTATCTGCTGGAGTAGAAAAATCACTGTTAGTTGAAAAAAATCACTGTCTTAAGCTAACTCTCTAACTACTTAGAGCTTTACTTAATCCGTAAAGTAGGCTCTAATGCTTGTCCTCGTGGGGTTGTTGGAAGGATAAAATGAGATGATGGATGCACACGTGCTGTGTGATCAGTGTGTCACAGATCTGTAATGCTCGGTTGCCATCAATTGCAACAGACTATGAAGAGTCAAGTCTTCCAAGGCTGACATTAGACAAGGCCAACAAGATTTGGGGCAATAAGGAGAGACAGCATGACAAACCAGTGAAGAACAGCATCAGAGTAGGTTACTTAGGAAAACGAAGACGTCTGGTATGTAATTCTAATCTTTGAGGCTGGGAAAATGAGGAAATCACTATCCACCAGTAGCCGTTCTTTTCTTTCTCATACACAGTCCGCAGCTCTCCATTGCCTGCCAGGTATTTAGTGGCCTCTGACTGTTGGCCCAGACCTCCCGTAGGTGTCATGTTCCCCTACCCCCACTTCTTAATTGTGTAGCACAGGCCCCAGGCTCCCAGAGCATATGGCAGCCTCTCCTGCCTCCAGCCCTCACTGGTGCTCTTCCCTGTGTTTACATGTCCTCCCCCAGCCCTCAGTCCCTGCCTGTGAATTCCTCATCCTTCACAGCCCAGCTCTCTCAAAGTCTTGCTGGGTCCCCACGGCCAGACAGACTGGCTGCTTCCTTCTTGGCTCCCCTATGGTGATGTTTACATCTCTATTAGATTGTCAGGGTCTGCTTTGGATGACAGTTGGCTGGGTTCATCTGTCCTCCTCTTCGACCACATCCACCTGCCTTGGAGCCAAGACTGTGTCTGATTCCTTTCCATATCTTCCTGCCTCCATGTCAGATACTGAGTGGCTTCCCCACCAAAAATTGAATTGAAGAGAATTTTAGAAAGAAATGGGATAAATAATTGAACCTGAATGCAATTTGACCTAGATGCCCAAGTTTCAAATGTGTAATTTCCATATTTATTTAATCATTGAACAACTATGTATTTAATGGGCCAAGGGGTGAGCATATTGAGCAGGGCAGTGACGAAACAATAATTTTGCAAGATCTGTCTGTCTATGAGATTTACAATGATCAGAGAAAAATGCATCTTTTGACTTCTTTAAGTCCCCTCCCCCTACAAAGTATGCAAAGCAATTCTTACCTATTACAGGTGGGTGTTGAGGTTTTGCTAATTAATCCCTGTAAAGGGCTTTGAGATCTTTCTCTGAAAGGTGACAGCGAAGTGTGAAGCCTTTAGTGACAGCCTAATTATTATTATTACCAGGCATAAAGCTCAGAGAACTTAAAAGATCCCCAGGTACCATTCAAAATAGTAAGAGACAAAAAATGCAAATGGAGAAATTATAAGATGGAGTGATTGAATCACAGACCCAGTGTTGGCAGGGACCTTAGAAATGATCTTTCCTGATTTTGTTCTTTCATACCCTTTGGAATGGCATGCTCAATGCTTACTGCTATTAGTGCCTAAGGACTTAAGGGCTAAGAGCTTGGGCCTGATGATGGTTTCATGTGTTTAAATCTTCAGTTTCTTCCTTGTTACCAGTGAACATGTAGGTACATTTTTAGTCCTCAGTTATTTGATCTATTAAATGGGCATGAGGCCACCTAATGTAGAGGTTGTTGTACAAGTAAATGATGTGCACGCATTGCTAAGCATGGTACCCAGAACATAGAAAATAAATATTAGCTTTAAAAATCATTGCACTGGGGCCAGCAGGTGGTGTAGTGGTTAAAGGTGCTGGACTCCCATGTGGCCAACTGCAGTTGGAGTCCCGGACCTGGTGGCTTGCTTTCTCACTTTCCCTCTCTCTCTCTCTTCCTCTCTCTCACTCTGTCCCTTTCTGATCAAAGTAAAATAAATAAGTAAAATAAAGTTAAGAAAAATAATTTTAAAAAATCATTGCACTAATGAACTAACGTGTGGAAGAACGTAAGAAATCAAAATCTCTGCCATCAAATTTGCTCCTTGTTCAGGGGCTCCACGGAATGTGGTCAGACTTCTTTTTGCAAATCTAAGCTGTCATACAAGTGTGTGTGGGTGTGTGTGTGAGAGAGAGAGAGAGATGCAGTCTTGGTGAGAGAAGTGAAGAATCTCTGGATAAAATGGCCTATTTGGGTTGAAATTCAATTGATGATGCCCAGAGCATTCAAGTTGATGGGCCAGATCTTGTATCTTAGTAGGACTGTGTCTTTATAATGCCATTCCTAAAACCTGGGGTTTTTCAATCTGTAAAATAGGACTCATGACCATGTGACAAGGTTGGTGGAGGATGGATGGAGATAACACTGTCCAGTTGCTTCATAAACTGCAAAATGGTCTGTGGCTGTTGGTAACTGCTGCTTTGCAACCCACACTACGTCCCTGAATACAGTCGTGCTCACCGCAGGTTATCTCAGCCAAGACCCTCGTCCACAAAGGTCCATGGAGCTCCACTTTACACCAGACATGACCAGCATCCAGAGAGATGTGAAAGAAGCCCAGATCCTCTCACTAGAATCCCTGCAAAATGACTCATGTAATTGCTCTGTGTAAGTATCCTTAGTCTTTATTGTACACCCACACAATTCTGATGCTATAGACTCCTGTGGAATGCAGGAGGGAAAGGGAGAAGGGGGCCTATTTTAAATGCCTAGGATTTAAAAGAGATCACCAATTTCACTTGTAAAGGTGACAGGGACTACCAAATAGCCAAGTCAAGACACCTGCCAGTCATTTCAGGATCCTCCTGTTGTTGGTCTTTGTGTGGGTCCATTGAAGGGAGGGAGAGGGAGAGGGAAGAGCCTTTTTTTTTTTTTTTTTTAATTTTTATGTTTCCATTTCCTAGGAGGGATTTCTAGGGTCTTCCCCTCAGGAATTAGTTGTAGAAATAATTGGGCCAGTGGAGTGCAGGAGATATATCCAGCGCAGCCCGTGCACTCCTAGAAAAAGTGACCTAGATCAAGCGGCTGGTGGGAGGATGATTGTGGGGACCCCCTGCCACCTACTGACTTGCAACTGAACCCACAGAGCAGAGGCCTGGCTGGTGGCAGCTGGAGGAGAGGGCAGAAAGAGCAGAGGAAGGTGGGAGGGTAAAGGGGACTGTGGGGTTGCCCTTTGCATGACCAAGCATCACATAACACCCACTCCCTCCCCACACACAAAGGAAGAAGAAGACAGGCACAGGGAGCCAGGGGGTGATAGGTAGAAGAGGCCGGCTGTGGAACTCTGAGCTGGCTGGGTGGTGTTAGCATAGAGCTTGCCGCCTGTGTGAGTGTGAGGGGGAGAGCGACAGAGCAAGGGAGGGAGAGAGAGGCAGGCTGCGAGAGGAGAGGAGAGGCGAGGAGAGGGGGAGCGAGCGCTCCAGCTAGCATGAGGACGGGCTTCTCTTTCCGTGCTCAGTTAATCTGGCTGTCAGTTGGTGTTAACGCTGCCGTTTAAGTGCTCCGATTCCAAAGGAAACAGACAAACCTTGCAGAAGGAAGGAAGCAAGCAAGGAAAGAAGGAACTGCAGGAGGAAAAGAATAGGCAGAACAGCGAGAGGAATAAAGGGAAGGGGGGGAAACACCAAATCTATGATTGGACCTGGGCTTCTTTCTCGCCAATGCAAAAAGGAATATGCAGCACATTTTTGCCTTCTTCTGCACCGGTTTCCTAGGCGCGGTAGTAGGTGCCAATTTCCCCAACAATATCCAGATCGGTGAGTGAGGGGGCAGCCTGGGGAGGGACTTTCTGGGTCTGGTCAGGATTTTTTTTTTTTTTTTTTTTTGGGGGGGGG